TGTAATATACCGGCCTCCTGGACCCGTATCTCGCTTTCTTGATGACTTCTCTGCCTGGCTACCCTACTTTATCTCCTCAGAAATACCCATCATTCTTGGTGAGTTTAACATCGCTAATAACATTAACACACCAGCTTCCACTCAATTTCTTAACCTAACCACTTCTTTTGACCTAAGGCAATGGACACACACTCCTACTCACTCTGATGGTAACATACTAGATCTTGTTTTCTCCCACCTATGCACACCCTACAACCTCTCCTACACCCCTTTTCCCTTCTCAGACCACAACCTTGTCAGTTTCACCCTCACCCTGTCGCCAACCATGAATCCCCCTACACTGCACACTGTCACACAGAGAAACCTTCACCACCTCAACCCTTCTCTTCTCTACTCTGCTACTGACTACCTCTATGACAAAATCTCACCCCTGTCCTGCCTTGACCTGGCTATTTCTGTCTTCAACAGCTCGCTCTCATTCTCCCTAGACACCTTGGCTCCTCACTACACGCAGACTTAGACCACGCCCACTACAACCGTGGCAAACTAAAGAAACCAGATATCTCAAGAGACATAGCCGCACTCTGGAGCGAGTGTGGTGTAAAACTAGGTCTCTGCGAGACTTTACCCTGTATAAAGATGCCCTCCTAAAATATAACTCCTCCCTCTGTGCTTCCAGACTTATTTTGTCACTCTCATTAACACACTCTCATCCAAACCTTGTCAACTCTTTTCTACTTTTAACTCTCTATGTCCCCCACCGCCACCACCCACTAACTCACTTCCCAGGACATTGTCATTCATTTCAAAAACAAAAAATAGATGCAAATCAGAGATAAAATGCCCACTGTCCAGTCACCTTCCCCTATTTATGAACCTGGCCCACCACTGCACTTGTTACTTTCCTCTTTTGACCCCGTCACCACAGAGGTTGCAAAGCTTCTCTCTGACACCCACTTCACCACTTGCCCCCTGGACCCTGTTCCCTCACCACTACTCCGATCACCCTCTTCCTCTATCCTACACTCTCTTACTCACATTTTTAATCTTTCCCTCTCCACTGGCATATTTCCCTCCCCTCTAAAACATGCACTAGTCACCCCAATACCCAAAAAACCTTCACTGGACCCCACCGACCTCAACAATCTCAGACCTATCTCCTCACTCCCCTTCACCTCCAAACTCCTTGAACGCCTCGTCTACAATCGCCTGAGCTGCCACCTCACCGATAACAACCTTCTTGATGCCTTACAGTCCGGCTTTCGCCCCCAACACTTCACTGAAACCGCCCTCCTGAAACTCACTCATGACTTACTAACAGCTAAAAACAATGTCCACTACTCCTTACTCTTGCTATTAGACCTTTCTGCTGCTTTTGACACAGTTGACCACCCACTGCTCCTCAAGAAACTCCACTCGCTTGGCCTAGAAGACTCTGCTCTCTCATGGTTCTCCTCCTACCTATCTAAGCGCTCTTTTAGTGTAACCTACAAATCTACATCTTCCTCTCCTCTTCCCCTGTCTGTCGGGGTCCCCCAAGGCTCTATCTTTGGACCCCTTCTCTTCTCTATCTACACCTCCTCTCTTGGTCAGTTGACCAATCTCCTTGCGCTCAGTCTCCTTGTGTATCACTAACCTACTAACTGACATATCCGTCTGGATGTCACAACATTTCTTAAAGCTCAATCTTTCAAAAATTAAGCGCATGATATTCCCTCCCCCCGCGCACCCCTGAGAGATTGAGCTTTAAGAAATGTTGTGACATCCAGACGGATATGTCAGTTAGTAGGTTGGTGATACGTAAGGAAACTGAGGAGGTGAGTTGCGGAGTGGAGAGATATATTTGAGTGTCATCAGCATAGAGGTGATACTGGAAGCCTTTCTTCCCCACATCCAATCCCTATCCAAATCATGCGGTATTCACCTTCGTAACATCTCCAAAATACGCCCCTTCCTCACCAATGAAACCACAAAGCTGCTCATCCACTCACTTGTTATCTCTCGTCTCGACTATTGTAACTCCCTCCTCATCGGCCTACCTCTACAATGGCTATCCCCCCTTCAGTCTATCATGAATGCTGCTGGCAGACTTATCCATCTAACCAACCGCTCAGTATCTGCAACCCCCCTCTGTCAATCCCTGCACTGGCTTCCAATCGCCCAAAGGATAAAATTCAAAATATTAACAACCACTTACAAAGCCATTCACAACTCAGCCCCGTCTATATCTCAAACCTTGCCTCTAAGTATCACCCTAACCGTCCCCTACGCTCCTCCCAAGACCTCTAGCTCCCTTGTCAACTCCTCCCATGCTTGCCTCCGGGACTTCTCTAGAGTCTCCCCCAACTCTTTACCCCAACCTGTCTGTCTATCTCCCACTCTGACTACCTTTAGGCGATCCCTTAAGACTCATCTCTTCAGGGAAGCCTATCCGACCTCAACCTAACCACTGAAATATCACTTTCTCAAACAATTCATCCCCACACAGCTACCTCCTCATGTATCACTTGCTCCTCCCTTTTAGATTGTAAGCCCTCAGGGGCAGGCCCTCCTTACCATCTTGTCTTGAATTGTATTGTAATGTCTTCCTTATATTGTAAAGCTCTGTGCAAACTGTTGGCGCTATATAAATCTTGTATAATAATAATGATAATAATATAGAAAGCTGGCTACAAAACAGAAGCAGCATCTATATATGCTTCTTGAAATTCATCAAAATACTCAAATTTGACCTAAAAGTCAGGGATTTTAATACAGAGTGGCACCCATGTTCAAGGGCACTCAAAGCACACAGCAAATGTTTTAAGAAGCCTGCCGTAAAATAGATAATTGTATAATTGTATAGGTGAACAGATTAATCATGCTTCAGAGCATAATAATGCTTTTGGAAGTTATATAGGACCTTTTCATATATATCTGTACATCAGACCAAAAAGAGGGACAACTGAAGAGGGACAAAAGAATTTGGTTCCAAATGAGGGACAGTTGTGAGGAATGGATAAATTGTTTGCCCCAAATGCACTAGTTACCCTTGTAGCAAGGAGTCAGCAATTTCTTAAAAGTGAATTATTTCAGGGGATGCAGCCCACAAAATTACTAGAATCAAGTGCATTACTGCAACAAAAAAAAAAAGCAAAGTTAAATCCCAGGCAAACAGCTGAATTTGAAGTTGGAATGCATATTTGTTTACTTGTTTTAAAGGCCAAATAATTTATTATTTGTTTAGCTCCTCTGGATCTCTTCAATTCTAAAAGGAAAAGCGGTAATAATGCTGACTTGTCTAATACTGAATTGTCAACTGAGCAGCCCGAAGGCAGAGGGGCGACATAGAAAACTACATTGGTAAACGAGGAAATAAGTTACCTGTCTGGCTGTGCAGTGAGGGAAATATGTGCAAATCATAAGAAAGAATGTACAGTCTGTACACATATCCTCTAGCATGTAAAACAGTAAACATATAAAAACGGTATTTAAAAATGTACTTAGCAGTCTGCCTGGAGTTTTGCTTTGATTAATTCCACAAAATGTGTGAGAATTTAATCCTTCACAGTTGGCTGATTTACAAGCTTGCAGACCTCTAACTGATTGCTGGTTGTCCCTAAAGTTGCTCTTACATCTTGGAAAATGTTATCATGAGAAAAAAAATTAGGCAGAAGCCCCTGTATGACCAAGTCTTCCATCCCAGAAGACACATAACAGCTTTACGTTAAGTGGCAGCCAATACATGAGTAGTGTATCAACAGAGAATCTACAAAACAACCTTTCCTTCCTGAGCACAAACATGCACTATATTGCCAAAAGTATTGGAACGCCTGCCTTTACACACACACAAACAAACTTTAATGACATCCCAGTCTTAGTCCGTAGGGTTCAATATTGAGTTGGCCCACCCTTTGCAGCTATAACAGCTTCAACTCTTCTGGGAAGGTGTCCACAAAGTTTAGGAGTGTGTCTATGGGAATGTTTGACCATTCTTCCAGAAGCGCACTTTTGAGGTCAGATACTAATGTTGGATGAGAAGGCCTGGCTTGCAGTCTCCACTCTAATTCACCCCAAAGGTGTTCTATCGGGTTGAGGTCAAGACTCTGTGCAGGCCAGTCAAGTTCCTCCACCCCAAACTCGCTCATCCATGTCTTTATGGACCTTGCTTTGTGCACTGGTGCACAGTCATGTTGGAACAGAAAGGGGCCATCCCCAAACTGTTCCCACAAAGTTGGGAGCATGAAATTGTCCAAAATGTCTTCGTATGCTGATGCCCTAAGAGTTCCCTTCACTAGAACTAAGGGGCCAAGCCCAACCCCTGAAAAACGACCATACACCATAATCCACCCTCCACCAAACTTTACACTTGGCACAATGCAGTCAGGCAAGTACCTTTCTCCTGGCAACCGCCAAACCCAGACACGCCCATCAGATTGCCAGAGAAGCGTGATCCGTCACTCCAGAGAAGATGTCTCCACTTCTCTAGAGTCCGGTGGCGGCGTGCTTTACACCACTGCATCCAACGCTTTTCATTGCACTTGGTGATGCAAGGCTTGGATGCAGCTGCTCAGCCATGGAAACCCAGTCTATGAAGCTCTCTGCGCACTGTTGTACCAATCTGAAGGCCACACGAAGTTTGGAGGTCTGTAGCTATTAACTCTGCAGACAGTTGGTGACTTCTGCATACTGTGCGCTTCAGCATACGCTGACCCCGCTGTCACTTTACGTGGCCTATCACTTCGTGGCTGAGTTGCTGTTGTTCCCAGTTGCTTCCACTTTGTTATAATACCACTAATAGTTGACCGTGAAATATTTAATAGCAAGGAAATTTCATGGGAAAACCTGAATCCAATTATTTGTTGGGGTACCCCAATAATTTTGGCAGTGTATGTGTGCACCGTTTCCTTAACTAGTCCATTAAAATAACCTGATTACAGTTAATCACTTTGCAGACTCAAATCATAAAAAATAACTACATTATATATACAATCACAATAAATTGGCATATCATGCAGCACCTGAGGTGGATCTTCAGATAAACTTTTTGAAGAAGCATTATCGTCATCGTCGTCATCATCATCATCTTTGTTAACAATTACTTCTTCATATGGTCGCTTTTTGTTTTTTTTCTCACCATCTTCAAAATGAAAATTCATATTAAAAAAACCCATTAATATTGACATTTTATTTGTGCCTACAAAGTGATAAACTGTTACAGACACAAATCTAAATACGGTCTACAAAATCCCTTAAAGTCTGTTTTTTTAGTACTTGTGCCAAACATGCTAACCACTGCTGATGCAAGTGCGGACTTACCGAGGTACAAACTTAATAACACAAATGCACAAGAAAAACCTGAGTATAAAAGATTTCACTACTTGTGCTTCACACAATCTCAAAGAAATACAAAGCTGACTTTGCCTATTAATGTTTACACTAAATGTGTTATTTTGGTCCTTCCTGGACTACTGCATTATTACTTAATACAGAACATTATTACAGAACTACCAGCGCCCATTTGTGCAGCGCTTTACAACAGAAGGAAGACATTACAATTACAATACAGTTCAAGACAAGATGGTAAGGCGAGTTATATATGGTAAAGCACAACAAATGTGAAAGAAAGAAAATGAATCAAAGTGTAACAGTAAACAGTAGTGACAGAAGCCGGGGGATCAGCAATTAGGAAGGACAGTGTCAGCATGAATTCAGAGATGATTTGAGGATCTACAGCCGATTGATACACAAATAAGCTAAATTTTTATTAATAGGGTACTTGCACCATAATTCCTGAGTTTAGTGTCACTTGAATAAAGACCTAAAGCCAAAACTTTCAAAAAAGACACTTTTGCCTTCTGATAATTGGCAACAAAACAGAGAGTAAAGGGAACTCCAAAATGTTATAGTATATGTAATAAACAAAAAGACAGGTGGAACCTGTGTCCCTCAATTAACTTGAAGAAAGAGGTTTTATAGTACAAAAATCCTGCTTTGTTTTTCATTCATTGAGCAACCAAACTCTAAGCCACAATGAAAAAAAATGCCCAAAGCTTGCAGCAGAAGAGCCTTCATGACAAAGAAGGAGTTAGTCTGTCTAATGGATGTGTGGTTAGGAGCGCCTAATAAAAAAATAGTCATCTAGCTTGAAGGCTCGTTTTTTTTTTTTTGTGGAAATATCAGATACAGCTAACTTATTTTGGGGAATTGGACTTCTTCCACACAGCAAAGTGAAGAAATCGCTGATGCACTGGAAAAATAGAGACATGCATTGTTGATGTCTACAGAAGCTAAAATGTCTCCCTAATGAGACATGGTGGATTCCATATGGAATTTTCATGACCAAATAAAGACACTCTGTGCCTTGAGATCCAAGATGGGAATTTGACAGTTCTGGTGGATTCCAAGAAAGACCTGATGGATTGCATACATAATTTTCAGGACCAAATGAAAACATTCAGGGCTTTGAGATAAAAAAA